TCTCAAAGAACCAGCTCTTGGTTTCGTTGATTTTTGCTATTGTTTTATTCTTCTCAATTTTGTTTATTTCTTCTCTGATCTTTATTATGTCCCTCCTTCTGCTGACTTTAGGCCTCATTTGTTCTTCTTTTTCCAGTTTTAATAATTGTGATGTTAGACTATTCATTTGGGATTGTTCTTCCTTCTTCAAGTGTGCCTGGATTGCTATATACTTTCCTCTTAAGACTGCTTTCGCTGCATCCCACAGAAGTTGGGGCTTAGTGTTGTTGTTGTCATTTGTTTCTATATATTCCTTGATCTCTATTTTGATTTGTTCATTGATCCATTGATTATTTAGTAGCATGTTGTTAAGCCTCCATGTGTTTGTGAGCCTTTTTGTTTTCTTTGTAGAATTTATTTCTACTTTCATACCTTTGTGGTCTGAAAAATTGGTTGGTAGAATTTCAATATTGTGGAATTTACTGAGGCTCTTTTTGTGAGCTAGTATGTGGTCTATTCTGGAGAATGTTCCATGTGCACTTGAGAAGAATGTATATCCTGTTGCTTTTGGATGTAAAGTTCTATAGATGTCTATTAGGTCCATCTGTTCTAGTGTGTTGTTCAGTGCCTGTGTGTCTTTACTTATTTTCTGCCCGGTGGATCTATCCTTTGGGGTGAGTGGTGTGTTGAAGTCTCCTACAATGAATGCATTGCAGTCTATTTCCCTCTTTAGTTCTGTTAGTATTTGCTTCACATATGCTGGTGCTCCTGTATTGGGTGCATATATATTTATAATGATTATATCCTCTTTTTGGACTGAGCCCTTTATCATTATGTAATGTCCTTCTTTATCTTTTGTTACTTTCTTTATTTTGAAGTCTGTTTTGTCTGATACTAGTATTGCAACACCTGCTTTTTTCTCTCTGTTGTTTGCATGAAATATCTTTTTCCATCCCTTGACTTTAAGTCTGTGCATGTCTTTGGGTTTGAGGTGAGTCTATTAAATTGAATCATACTGACCAACATCTTTTGATTTACAATCTAGTAACACTAATCTACTAATGGCCTATTGGCCACTTCTTTGCTCACTTTACTCTTTTTTCAAGTATCTAATGAATCTAGTCCATTATTCCCTCTACACCTCCACCCCGTGTAGACTATCATGCTAACTTTTTTTTTTTAAGGGAGAAAATATTGTTATTTGGAAAGCAGGATATTTTATTTTATCAAAGTTTCTAGTATAACATCAGAACTGTAGTTAAAGAACAGGCAGTTAAATAAATCAAGTATGCTTACTGTGTACAGTTGTGTCAGACTGATGTTGAAATGTTAGCTGGTATTTCAAAGTACTTACTGATTGGGAACTGCCTCAAAGACTGAACTTAGTGTTTGCTGCCAGAGGTCCACAAATGACAGTACATCAAACCACACTCAGCATCACCGTGATGCCAGTCCATCTAGTGAGAGCAGAGAGGCAAGCAGAAAGAAAAAAATGAAGGTGGGAATTTGAATGGAGTCCATGACCAATTTAAATACACAAGCCTGTTGCTGGAGATAGTGAAATTCTTAGCATCATATTGGAAATATTTTCAGAATGTTTCAGAATGCAAGGTAAACAAAATTCTGATTTGAAGTGGACAAAGTGGACTTACACAGCAGGAGTACATTGCAGAGTGGTGGCTGCCAGACTTCAAGATTTATGGATCAGTAAATTAAAGAGAAGAAATAATTGGAGGACTATCAGGAGTTGCCAGCTCTTTATATTTTTGTCAAGTGTTGCTAGCACTGTTCTCCCTATTAAGACTCTGCTGGGCATTGAGGTTCCCATATTAGATCTAAGCCATAATAGTTTAATATTTAAATGAAGGGTGAAGAAACATTCCAAAAGATACAAAGAGAACTTCATTATCCCCTGTGGAATTTACTGGTTGGGATCTCCCTCACATGAGCCCAATTCATTTCTGCCCTAGGGCTCTAGGGATCAGCTTCTGCCTACTGACCTGCAGCAAGTGTGAGCCAGAGATGGTGTGCTCTAAAGAGCCACCTCTGTGACTTCCACCATTCACTTATAGTTGTCCTCTTCTGCACTCAGGCTGGTACAGTTTCTGTGACTTACACTATATCCCCCTGACATGCAGACTACTACAAGAAATTGTTTCACCGGAGCTGGTGATGTAATAGATATGGCAGTTATTATTTTTTTAATTCTCTTATTATGCAATATTTCAGGCACATCCAAAAGCATAGCATATATAACAAACCATCATATATGTCACCCAGTATCAACAATTATGAACTAATGGCCAATTTTGTTTTTCTGTACCGCTACTTCCCCTACTTTGGGTAATTGCGAAGCAAACCTCAAACATATCATTTCCTCCATAAGCATCTTCTATCTGCATCTCTACAAACAATGGATACCATAAAATATAAAGTATTAGAACATACTTTAAAATATTAATTCTTTAATATAAAAAACAACAATCAATAATTGTATTTGATTATTTCACAATGTACTTTTCTTTATGTATTTATTCATTTATATATTGGTGAATGTATATATTTATTCAGGATCCAAAAAGTTCTTTCTTTTTCCTGTTACTTTATCACCATCCAGATTTCCATGAACACATCCATGTGGTTTTATTTTACATACTTGTCTCTTGGATTTCCTATAAACTGAGAGTTTATCCTAAGGCTGATCATTCCAGATTCTATTTTTTTGGCCAGAACATTTCATAGGTAGTGTTCTGTCCTTCTGTCAAGAGATATATATAATATCTAGTTCTCTCTTATTTATATACATGTTTATGTCAACAGCCACTGAGTCCTTCATTTAGTGTGCTGGTATTTTCGTTTCTTCTTACAAAGATGCAAGCAAATAAAAAATTTATCAAGATGTGGTTCCTGGAACATCTTTTAAGTTTTCATGTTGGTGTCATTATATAATCATATGCCAAGCTCTTCAGCAATTGTCTACTGCAGTGCAAAAGTGTGGCCACAAGTCTCTCACACACCAAGCAAGGATGATAAAGAGCAAACAGAGCCATCATCTGAAATCATCATCTTTTCATAAAATGAAAGGTTGTTCAAGAGCAGAAATAATGAAGAATTTCATTGAAGATCAAAAAAAAGTTTAAATACACATATCTTTCTGGAAAATTCACACCATCCTGATTTTTCTCATGCCACCAAGGACAGGGACACTGCATTCTGCACTCAAACAACAGACCAGAATATAGGAACCATTGTTTAGCACCATAATATTGGTGAATATCTGTTAGGAAGTAATGTGATATTTGTCTAGCCAAATTAAACAGGTAACTCAACTTTATCTTTGAAAGTATCTTTCATCTATGATGTATTTTGCAATATGTAAGTTTCACTATATGTACTTTTTAAAGAGCTGTTCTTCAATAAACACATGTTGAGCACCAATTTTATGTCACAATCTGGCATTGGGAATATAAAATACCCTGGACTGCAAATATAACAAAGATTAATAAAAATGCAGAGTGGAGACACCAAAAATGGAGAACCTGCTTATTAATTTTTGCTCTGCAAGGAAGCTCACACACCTGGGCACTGGGTATCCTGCAAATGGTACAATAAGGCATGTTTGTCTTCCTAAGACTTATTTTGAAAACTAAGTATAATAATAAATTATCTGAAGAATCAAAGGTAAACTATAATTATTATAAGAAACTACATGATAATGTTTGGAACTCAGTCTGCAGTTTTTTACTGTAATAGACTTAATGTCTTAAAATCCTCAAAATGGGGTTCTTTACACTAGTGACATATTGAAGTGATCTTTGAAATTATTCCTAGTGTCACCATCTACCCATCTTTTGCTGATGAGGAAACAGTCCTCCTTAGGTGAAGTGACTTACAGAACCCGTCAGTGGTGGAGCCTCCTGACCCCCAGTTCTCTTTCTCCCCACTGCTCCACACTGTCTATCTAAGGTGTCTTTTGCATTAGGAACTATTCACATATGTAGTGCATTTTCATCTCCCAGGGCTTTAAGGCTTGGCAGGGAGGCAGCCTGGTTCGTGGAGAGCAGAGGTGAACTGACCCATTTGTAAGGGTGGATGACTATGAGGCCTCAGGGGATTCTCTCTTTGCTAATGACATCTTCTACTCATGGTGGCCCTTCTCTTCCCCTTTGCCTTTTCTAATTCCCATTCTTCTCTAATCTTAACACTAGCCTGATGGGACCAATCATGGTTTTGATGGTGCTTCATGTGTTGTTGACCTAGGCCAGTCAGTCTGACCTTGTATTACCAACTTTCCTTCCTTGAAGTGCAGACATGACACAAATTGAAATACTTGACTTGGGAACTTGAATTCAGTTCAGCTGCTTTGGTTGATAGAATATTTTTAAAAAGTCAAATCTGTAAGAATTTTTGCTAGGCCTGCATATTTTAATTTGTTGTAAATTGCCTATTGGATAACACCAGTTTTTTTTCTACATATTTCTAAGAGTTGACTGGCCCCTGAAAGCATTTTAGTGGGCTGCTGGCTAGCGGGTCAGTATCTTCCTGACAAAGTCAGGCTGGCACGCGGGGTTCCTTTGGGTTGAGTCCTCTAATTTTCATTGACTATGAGTCTCTTCTAAATATCAGAGCATTGCCTACAGTGTGTCTCTCACTGGTAGTCATAGTTTAGTATTCATGTTTTCCACATTCAGCAATGAGTGTTAATCATAGTTTTCCACACTCAACAATGAGTCTTAAGGGAACTCAAGTGAGGGTAGTGGTTCCGGGCAACTGGCCATTATTGTGTATGCCTGAGAATTTTGAGGCCCTTGAGCAACTTGTTAGCATCCTGCTCTTCTAGCAGGAATGAATGCCTAACTTATCATAAGAACTCATACAAGGTGGTAAATCATCGAAAGGTGCCCTATTTGTGAACAGGTTCCCCTGGATGTGGAACTCTCCAAAAAAAAATGTGAGGCTATGCAACAGTCTACTTTCCCTTTGCCCCAACATGATTTTCACTGAAATCTTCTTCAATACAGGTTGCCAATTTGGCCTGTTCCATCTCCAACAATGAGGAAGGGGTGAAATTAGTCCGAATGGCCGCCACCCAGATTGACAGTCTGTGTCCCCAGGTAAGTCTCATTCACTTTGTTGCCAAAGCCCAAGGTTGGCCTGATATTCAGGGTCTTTTGTCCCCTGGGCCTGCTGGTCATGCTTGCCTTGCCCTCTTTCCTCCCACTGGAAAATGCTGCTCTTCTTTCATGGGCTGCTTCGAGTTCTACTTTGCTCAAAATGAATTTCTGATAATCATTAACCATGGCAGTTACTTTTTTTTTTCCACTCATAATGACTTTTTTCCATTTGTTTTGGCTATTATTTAAATGCTCTATATCTTTTTACCTTGTTTCAACAACTAAAGGATACACTTCTTCAGAGAACAAGAGTTGCATTTCTACAACATCTGTGCAAGGAGACAGGACTTGTCCAGTAAACACCTCTTGAAACCTGAGGCTAATTACTGTATCTTAAAGAAGCAAGGCAAACAAAAACTAATAATAGTTGATAACCTAGTTTATCTTTCATGTTTTTGATTGCTCTTCTGAACACTGAGAACCCACTTATCTGGAGAAGCTACAGGGTCTGTGGTTTCAATATAGTCTTTGGCCCATTTGTTCCTCTTTTGAAGGTTGTAGTCATATGTCCCTGGATTATTTCTAACAAACAGGTCATCAATGCTGCTCTAACACTAGCTGCTCGACCACAAAGCAAGGTTGCTCAGGACAACATGGATGTCTTCAAAGACCAGTGGGAGAAGCAGGTCCGAGTGCTGACAGAGGCCGTGGATGACATCACTTCTGTGGATGACTTCCTTTCTGTCTCAGGTAATCACAAACAGGCCCCTTACAAGGCAGCTGGAGAAGAGAACATGGCAAGATATGGCATATCTTGCAAATGTCATGGGTCTCTGTTTCAAGTGCTCTTCTTGGCCCTCTGAGCTTTCAATCATCTCTGCAAATGGTATTGTAACATTGTCTTGAAACTTCTTCTCTGGTGTGCACATTAGTTCAGGACACCCGGTCAAAGCACTGGGATCAGGGGAGTGAGGGATACAGCTTTCTGATAAAGATGTCAGAAACCTGAACAGATGATTAAGGAGACTTAGGTTCCTTTTTAGTCCCTGGAGTTTTTAAAGCAGGATGGCCTTTGATACATCAGAATCACCCATCGAAAACACAGTATGGGATAGGAGATTAGTTAATCCTCACAGTTTAATATTTAAAAATCAAAAAAGCAAATAGCTATTCCAAATTTTTCAGTGTTACGGGGGTCATTTTCCTAATAAATGATGTTACCCAGGTTTGGGATAAGCCAGGTAGAAATATTGGCCACAGACTGAACCAATTCATTAGAAGGCACTTGAGAGCTATTGAGGCTTTGAATATCTGTCTATGAGATTGTATAGGGAAGTGAGAAAAAGCAAATAGAACTAGTTATCACTTGAAATTATAACTTTCTTCTTTGTAAATGAAGCCAGGAGTGAAGGATGTTAGTGTATTTGAATAACCATTTAGTCAATTTGACCTTTAATGGTATTCATCAATGCTATTTCAAAATTGGGCTCCCAGCCAGCGAGTGGGACTTTTTCCAAACACATCTGACTGAACACATTTGGCCTGGTTCATTTAGAAGAGTTTCTGTGGGAGGAATGGGGCAGGAGGTCACTGAAAATATCGATCTCCTTTGTGAGGTATTAAAATAACCAAGTAACCCTTGAAAATTCACATGGACCAGGTATTGACTCTACACATGGGGGCAGATCGCACACCTGCCAACTCAGGTGTGACCTGGCCGTGACCAGGACCTGCTTGTTCTTGGCTGACTGACCTGAGAGACAGGGCACCACAGCACTGCCAGGGGAGGCAGGTGGACAGGCCCCTGACTGCCACAGAGCCGGAGGGATTTCTAGGGGAGGCTTATTGTATTTCAAAATGTTTTCTAGGTACAGTGGGAACTCCCACTGAGGGCTGGTTTTCAAACTGGTCTGCGAGCAGCATTATTGAGTGTAGATCCAACTTTGACACCATGGAGGGCAAGACAAGGCAGATGGGAAAAATGAGCCAGCACATGCTTGGTACCTGTGATGTGCCTGACTCTTTGGTGTTTCTTGAGTTCCCATCAAAGTCTATCACATAGGCATTCATATTCTGAGTCTTCCTTTGAGAAAACCAAATCACCAAGATGGTGAGTACCTTGGAAGAGACAGTATTAAAATCCAGATCACCCTCGTTCCAGAAGCTGAACGGTTCTCAGCAAGTCAGGACAGAAGGACGTTCCCTTGGGTGCCACCACTCACAGGGCCGCTCCCTCCTCCCCAGCTCCATAGCCACATTCCAGTCCCTAATCTCTTTCAAAACCTGTCCTGTTTTCCACTCCCAAGGTGCTTTGTTTTTGATAACTTGTCAAAGCAGCTATTCATTGAAATACACCCATACCTAGGGGTTGGTTGATAAAGAATTGCATATGCTGCTAGTCCTGGGGTTTTTGCTTTGCTAATGGCTGAGTCCTAACAACATAAAAGATATCCAAGAAATAAATCTCTCATAAAGTGCTTAGAAATTGTTTGGATAGATCTGTTAGAGATTTGGGTGGTGGGGAATAGAAGAATGGCTACCAATACTGAGTAACTTTCTAGTATCTGGTCAGTCATTGTCAGGATGACCGCAGGAGCCCCAGACAAGGCCAGAGGGTCTCCACAACCAGCCTCAGATCTCACACAGCAATCCTGAGAGTCCCTGGAAATCTTACTCTGCATCCCCTCTTATCTACAAATGAATAGAAAATACCCATGCATTACCCTTTTCAAAGGATTCATTTGAGAACTTAAAATTTTCCCAACTTATCCTTCTCTTTAAATACAAAATCTAAAGTACAAAAATTCCTGGGGGTAGGGAAATGCAAGGTGAGGAGGTCTTATCTCAGACCATTTCAATAGTGCAAAGCTTTTCTTAATTTTCTTCCCAACTCTGCCTCTTCGCCACCTTTCTCCCTGCCATTTCTTTGTGCATCTCATTATTACCGGCAACAAAAAATGACTTTGGCTTCCGCTGATAACTCTGTGCAGTCCAGCCCCAGTAGTACGAGTGCCACAGCATGCCATGACAAGAAAATGAACAGGCACTGACAGGGAGCCAGCCTTGGCAGGGCCTGCTGGAGCATGCCTTTGGGGTTGACAATCGGAGGCGGCAGGCACCTTTCCGCAGACAGGCTTGACAATTAATGACACAACCCACGTTGTCCTGCTGGTAGGCTGTGGATACAGCCCAGGAGTCGGGGAAACTACTCCTCATCTCCTCTCCAAGCTAGAGCCAAAACATTTGCATCAGTAAATTGCAAGTTTGGCCCAGGAGATATTTTGGAATGCCATTAATGACATTTTCTGTATCAGTTTCTTCTTACGGGAGTATCTGTTCTGGCAGGAAACTCTTTTTTAAAAACAAAACACAAAAAATTATTTGTTTTTAAAGAACTGTGGGTTTTGTTTTTGTTTCTTCATGCTACCTGAATGTATGTATCTGGGTGCTTAATTTGTCCATATAAAATGCCCAAAATGTCCAAAAAAACTTTGGGGAGCAATGATGCTGGCTATTAACATTTCAGGAGCAAAACCAATTTTCAGATGTGGCCTGGGCTCATAAGTATAATTAATGGCTGTGTTAGAACACTTAAATTTTTCCCACTGGGCAAAAACTACAATTTTTAGTCATGTTTTAAAATGAGTAGCTGGGCATTAACCATGTGACAGTTTAATTTTTGGGTATGGCTCACAAGATAACAGGCACCTAAGATCTGAAAAAGCCATCGCATAATGTCCAAGAGTTTTGTTTCCCTTTTTTTTTTCTTTTTGACTGCAGGGTCTTGAGTTTGTTTCCTTTCAGAAATTTACACAGTGAACTTTACTTTTAACTTAGAAACTATAGCTTTGAGTTTTATAGTAATCAAGTAGTTTGATCATCAGTGATTTTTATAATAAAATTACATCTCTTCTGAAATAATAAGATGGCAGAAATTCAAGGAAGTTTATGATAAAATATGTTGCAGTCAAATGTTTCATGGTAATGTTTAAATACCACACTTCATATGCGGATGTAACATCCATAGTACCCAAGTGTTTTTCCCAGCAATGGAGTCATCTCTGGAATATACATACTTTTCATTTTTACTTTCTGTACTATGTTCTTGTCTAATTGGAATAGCATTATTCTATCTCCTTATTTCATGATTTTTTTTTCTTTTGAAAGTACAGTGGGATAAAAGTATGTTATTTTCCCTTTTCAATGATCATGTTGATTCAGTATTTCTTCTTTGATTGCCTGCTGTGCATAAGATGCCACCAGGACTGCAAATATGAATTAAGTATGGATTTTGCCTTCAAATAATTCACTGTCCTACTTGTAAGATCCCAGACCAGTATTATTCCAAACCTGTGAGCTCCAGACCTGAGGGTACAGGGAGTAGGAAGGGAGAAGTTATTACAAGAGATCCAGGAATCCATATATACACCAAGTGAGATCTATATGAACAGCTACCATTCTTTTTCCAAATACATTTTTGGTACTTAGCTTAGTGAAATGCACATCTATTTAAAATCATCCCGAATCATAGTAGCTTTTGCATATACCCTATCCACCAAAATCATTACTGTCATGTAATTTTTTCATAAATGGAGTACCCCTAATTGGGGAAGGTTGCGAAATGCTGAGAAAACTATTAAACATTTAATTTAAAAAGTTGGTTTAGAAAAATCTGTCAATAAATTGTAAAATTAGTAAAATTAATACTTTATTACACAACATGGTTAATGGACTATTGAACAAATTAGTTTCATGATTTCACTAATTAGAAGCAATGTTTGTGATATAATGAATTTTCAGCTTCTGCTAACCCTTCAAATATGTAGTTATATCTACAAAAGTATATTCTTTTTCTTGCATCTTAATTACATTAGTTGTGTATTTCTTGTTTGGGAAATAGTTTTTTGTTTTTTTTTTAAAGGCTATTTCATTTTAAGATACTGGGTCATGAGTGGGCATTTAGAATTCTTTAAAAATTGCATTTACTATGCAAATTAAAACCACAATGAGATATCACCTTACATCAGTAAGGATCACCACCATCCAAAAGACAGACAACAGCAAATGTTGCTGAGAATGTGGAGAAAGGGGAACCCTCCTACACTGCTGGTGGGAATGTAAATCAGTTCAACCATTGTGGAAAGCAGTATGGAGGTTCCTCAAAAAACTCAAAATAGAAATACCATTTGACCCAGGAATTCCATTCCTAGGAATTTACCCTAAGAATGCAGCAGCCCAGTTTGAAGACATATGCACCCCTATGTTTATCGCAGCACTATTCACAATAGCCAAGAAATGGAAGCAACCTAAGTGTCCATCAGTAGATGAATGGATAAAGAAGATGTGGTACATATACACAATGGAATATTATTCTGCCATAAGAAGTAAACAAATCCTACCATTTGCAACAACATGGATGGAGCTAGAGGGTATTATGCTCAGTGAAATAAGCCAGGCAGAAAAAGACAAGTACCAAATGATTTCACTCATATGTGGAATATAAGAACAAAGCAAAAACTGAAGGAACAAAACAGCAGTAGACTCACAGAACCCAAGAATGGACTAACAGTTACCAAAGGGAAAGGGACTGGGGAGGGTGGGTGGGAAGGGAGGGATAAGGGGAGAAAGGGGTCATTATGATTAGCATGTATAATGTGGGAGGGGCACAGGAAAGGCTGTGCAACACAGAGAAGACAAGTAGTGATTCTACAACATCTTACTATGCTGATGGACAGTGACTATAATGGGGTATGTGGGGGAACTTGGTGATGGGGGGAGCCTAGTAAACATAATGTTCTTGTAATTGTAGATTAATAATACAAAAATTAAAAAAAGACCTAAACAAACAAAACAAAACAAAACAAAAAATTGCATTTACTGCAGACAGATTATTAGCATCTAACATAATTCGGAGATTTCTCTCCTTTCCACATTCAACTACAAAATTCCATCTTTAAGCTTAACCAAATTGAACCTTCTTAAAGTTTATCTTTTCATAACCATTTTGTAAAAACTTTACTCAGATAAGTATCACCATTCAGATATACTACTTTTTGTGAATTTAAGAAATATGAATATTAAATTTAAACATCTTATTTTGTTTTCTAGTCTAATTTATATTTGAAATTAAAGAAACTACAGAATGCAGAAATCACATGATATTTATAGTTTATAATGGTTTAAGAAAATCTTATTGTATGAGGACAAAACAGATGTCCCTCTATGAAAAGTAAGTTATACTTTGCAATTTTCTATCCAATGTCCTGAAAGAACAAATATGGCCTGCGAGTGGTTCATTTAGGGAAGTAGGAGAGAAATCTGAGGTACTCAGATTTACTCAGTACCCCCTTTCCTCTTTAGAAATTTTAAATTCAGAACTAACCCTAGACACATCTTAAAGAGGTAATAACTCATTTTAATCCTTTAGTATTCATTGAATTTGGCAGTTAAAATTTTTAAGAAGTTGCTTAATTACTTAAGACTATTTCCAAACTTGTTCTCTCTTTTTTTTATTGCATATGCACATGTATGTATATCTTCAAATTAATTTTTCTACAGAGCAGTAAACTCAACATTTCCCTAGACCTCTGTTTCTAAAAAATGTTCAATGAACATAATTATGGATCTCACTGTGGACATGGGAAATACAAAACTGCCTGTTTGCAAACTTATGGGACCAGTTTTCTCTATGCTAGCAGAGTGAAACCTAGCATTCTGCCTGCCTGGATTACACTTTAGGCAATGAAGGGAGAGTGATCGCCAACCTTGATTCTAGTCTGAGGGAACCAGCCATGACTGGATGGTATTTTAATTGTAGAGAACTCCATAATCATATTCACCCAGTAAGCTTTGTGCATCATGTGACATTAGAAGACTGATAGGGTGATATTTGTTCATTCTACAGCCTCCCTTAGACGTTTCCTTAATAAACACCTGATCAACCAACCACCCAGAACTTGACTCCGGTCACATCTACGAAGGTTCCTCCATGGGCAGGTGGACTCCATGTTCACTGCCACAGCCACTCCTAAAAGACCATTTCATGCAATAAATCTCACATGCTGAATGGGGTAATCTTCAGGCCAGTGGTCCTCAAAGTTTAGTCCCCAAACTAGAAGCATCAGCACCATCAGGGAATTTGGAAGAAGTGCAGTTTTGGGCCCCCCTGCAGACCTACTGAATCAGAAACTCTAGGAGTGGCACCTTGGAATTCTTCATGATGCTCTGAGCCCTCTGGCTGGTGCTTTTAGAACTACCACTGCAATTATAAACTGTATTGTTTAAATGTCATTTCAGTGTTTTAGGCATTTATTGAGATGTGTAAGGTGATGGCTTATGCTAGTTGATGAACTGCTCTTAGATTGGTTATTAAGCCACTGAGTGATATGAAATCAATGTGTACATGTCCTCTCCACAGAAAATCACATCTTGGAGGATGTGAACAAGTGTGTGATAGCCCTCCAAGAGGGAGATGTGGACACTCTGGACCGGACTGCAGGTGCCATCCGGGGCCGGGCAGCTCGAGTAATACACATCATCAATGCTGAGATGGAGAACTATGAAGCTGGTGTTTACACTGAGAAGGTGCTGGAAGCTACAAAATTGCTCTCTGAGACAGGTAAACATGGATATTATATTCAACCCAAATGTCAGTGCCATGATTAATTTCCATATCTGAATGAATCTGTTTCATTTTTTTTTCTATACACCTTTATGCTTCTAAATTACACATGATCATGGAAAGGGAGAGGTGCTCTTTGTTTCTTGAGTTTGAATTTGAATGACTTTAGCAGAATAACAATTTTACTGCTCTGCATGTATACATTACTTTAAAGCTTTCATATATAATCTTATCCAAGTCTCACAAGGAACTTATGAAGTAGGCAGAGAAATTTTTATTGTCTCCAATTACAAATGTGGAAGTGGAGGTTTGAATCACTTAAAAGACTGGAAAAAGGTCGCAAGCCTAGAAAACAGTGGAGATGTGATTGGAACTTGGAATGTTGAAAACCATTTCTCCATCCATTTCTTGAGAAGATAGGACCTTGAGAAAGGACTAAGGACCACAAGGGAAATCATAAAGGCTCTGGGTAGTGTCTGGATGTGAAGTACTCAAAGAAAAGGAATGGTAGCTGTTGAGAAAGGGTTAGATTCCAGGGTATGTGCTTCCTTCTAGGAAAGCCCTGTTCACCCTCCTCCAGGGGCATGCTGTGCCCCCTGGGGAATCACCGCTGTGCCAAGACACCGTGGGAGCCTGTCAGAGCTCTCTGGTGCACTGGGATGGGAAAAAAGACTTTTCCTCCACTGAGTGAGCAGAACAATACATAACTTTGACTATTATGTCAAGACTGGCCTATTTTTAGTAGTTTTTGCTCTCAACTAGTATGCCTTGGCTTTCCAAAGTCTCTCATGCCTTTTGTATTTGTACAAAAGGGTGGGGGAGGAAGAGAGAAAGTTCAGGGAAGGAAAGTAAGCAAAGGGATGGAAAACAATTTAACACTCCTGGATGACATTATGAAGGGGTAATAAAATAAGTCTATATGCACCAAGAACCCCTCCTCAGACTTCAGCGGGGCCTTCTCTGGTCTGTGCATTGACTGTGGGACCCATTACAATTTTTCACAATAGACATGTCTCTGAAAGGTCAGATATAGCAGTGTTCCAAGTTGTACATGATAAGATATGTTAGTAGAAATATGTTTCATTGTACAGGGAAAAGGTTATTTACAAAGGCTTCTGTACCTATTTTTTAGTCTGGAAGAACACAAGAGACACTGGCTGCTCTTTCTGAAATAAAAGCATCAAGGTAGTAGTGTAATATCACATAATAAAGAGCATGTCCAGGGATTGTTGCTCTTGAGAATTCTCACAGATTTAGAATTACAAATAATAACAATGACAATACTGCTAATAAGCTATATCTGCATTTTAATTAGCTGGAATTCAGCTCTGTTTTCTTTCAAATAGTCTTTCCTTTTGCATTCAGCAGGGCAACACAAAGCAAGTCATACAGTATTTCTTTCCTCACTTGGAAGAATTAGCAACAGGCATTTTACTCTTCAATTTACAGACTTCCCACCCCCACCCCCACCCCCACCCCCACCCTTTAGGGGACCCTCTCACATTTCTATAGTTCTCATCTCGGCCAGTTAGCTCTCTTCTGTTAGAGTCTCAGCTGCACGTGGTATATCTGACACACAGCACTCCCATGGGTCCCCCACTGGGTAAAGAGTAGCAGGAAACACTGGAAGACATGCAGACAGGGGGCCCAGCTCATGCCTGCTCATGACCTGTGGGAAAGATAATTGTAGCAAGATGAAAGGCAGAGTGTATCACCAGTGACATGTGACTGTGCACACAGAGAAATCAGGTACTGCTCAAGAGGCATTTTAGAATTTTTCTTCCTGTGTCTTGGGCTGCTTTAATGAACATAAGGTGCCCCTTGGGTCAAAATCTACTTAAAGGCAAGGACAGCATGCTTAGGTGATTGATACTTACTTCAACAAAATTTTCACCCAAAGTCTTGAAATGTAAATAATTTTCTGCTTGTTTTTTGTTTGTTTAACTAAGAAAAAAACAATCAGTGGAACAGAAGAATCCATTCTGGATAGTTGTTTGCTAATCACGATTTTGCTCTTATGTGTCATTGGAGCATTTAAAGTTCTCATCCCAGCCCTTCTTTGCAATGCTTGAATATTCTGGGGACTTAACTAAAGGTACCTCTCTGATTTGGATATCCACATCCAGTTCTTAATTGAACTGAGGAGAGGAACAAGACATTTCAATTCTATTTTTCAGGGTATATTGAAGATAAATAGGAAAGTAACCAGGTAGAAGAGATTGAATTAGACAGTTTATACACAAGGGTAGTGGAAAATACAGGAACACATGTCAAAGAAAAGTGAATGTCAGTGGGCTAAGAAAATATAGGGTACAGAAATTCTTTTGCCTCTGTCTGCAGCTGTTCTTCTCCTTTCTAAACAGGAATGGCATTGTTTCTATATGAGTAACTAACTAGAGAGATTGTCGAAGAAATGAAAGCAAAATATTTAGCTGTTTACTCCCTGGTTGCTAATGGGAATTGTTGGGAAATGTACTAGACCCATGGAGTTTGAGGCAGAGCATAGGATCAGTTCTGTGATTTTGGTTAGGCAAAGTTTTGTTGGTTATATATATTTTATAAAATGGGTCCTCTTGTCAGTGTCTGGCTGTGCTAGAAGACATTGGTCCTCAAAATAAAAACTGCCATGCAAATCACTAATGCCCAAATTTCTACCTTTGGGAAAATGTTTTGTTCTTGGTTTTTAAAAATGTCTTAGAGCCACATTGAATTGTTTACTTTCTTTTTTTATATGAGCTTACCAAACTCTGTCCTGAGAGTATATTTTCTTTGGGAGAGAAGTCACAGAATGATAGACAAGGAAAGTGCTCAGAGGAAGGATGAGGAAAAAGAAAAGGAGTCTAGGACACAGAAGACAGAATGTCTTGTTTTCTTTTGCCTTGTCACAATTTACCAGGTTCTGCCCAATTTTATGTCTACTTGTTAGGTTCAAGACCCTTAGGCAGAATTTCTCAACCTCTGTACTACTGACATTTTAGCCGGAGTCATTCTATCTTGGGGGAGGCGAACTGTCCTGTGGATTGTAGGATGCATCCCTGTCTTCTACCCACTAGATACTTGTGGGACCTCTTCCTCATTCCAAGTTGTGACAACCAAAAAATGTCTCTAGACATTTCCAACTGTCCCTGTGGGATGGCCAAAATAACTCTCATTGAGAATCACTGCTCCAAGGGGAAGAAATATCCCCAAGTGGGGGCTGGTTTAGACAAGGCAAAATGGAGCCTCTCTACTGTGGCCATAGGTATGGAGAAGGGAGTGGGGTGAGAGTGCAAAACAAAGACCAATCTAAAAAAGGGCAGAATGCTCAGAAAGTCTTGATTACAACAGACTTTGCAACCCGCTCCAAAAGGGACTGCAAATATAGGCCAGGCCAGCCCCTGTTTAGACATGTAAATGATGCAGGGGTGAGTCTCTATAGAAAGAATTCCACTTCACCAACTGGCTGCCTTCTCTGAGTGGCTAGAAATTGAGAGAGATCCAAAGAATGAAAAACAGTCTTTGGTTTATTTTCCATGAATTACTTTACTTCCTCAGTAAAGATCATGTTTCTTTGGAGAGGGTTTTTTATGTTGTTATGAATGCTGAATTAAATTTGAGAAAATAATTTTGGGGATAATTAGTATGCTAAAATTCTTAGACAACATTTTATAAAAACTTACCTATTTATTTTTTATAAAACTAATCTAGGCAGATGAAAATACAATAAATTCCATCTACATCAGACCCATTAAATACTTGCATAGCATATTTGAGGGGCTCTTCAATAAAACCTGAATTATAACAAATTGCCAACAGATTGGTAGTAAGCACATCCTTGACCAGACCCATATTCAGAAATCTCATTTACAAAGTCAGGTTACTGCAAGAGGTTACTGGGGGTGCAAGTATATTCAGGGATACCTAAAGTAGCTCATTCTTCACTGAATGGATTATACTGAAATGTCATTTTTTGTAAATTCGATAGCTGATGCCAATTTGTGGCAATGTGAATGTGATTGGGTTGAGATTCTGCCAGCAGTTCCTCAGAGAGCTTAAAGAAAAGGAAAATGTGTGTATTTAATGAGGATTCTATGTTAGTGAGTACTTTGTATGTAGAGATTAAAATACCATTGTTTTGGAGAACACGTGGGCCAAACAGATGGTATAATTTTTTCGTTATTATATGTATTTTTTGGAGCAGTTTCATGTTCACAGCAAAACTGAAGGGAAAGTACAGAGATTTCCCAGATACCACTTGACTCCACACATGCCTAGCTTCCTTGTTATCAACAACATTCCCTACAGAAGCAATACATTTATTACAACTGATGAACCTTCAATTGATACATCATAACCACCCGAAGTCCCAAATAGTTTATAGCACTGTTCACTCTTGGTGTTGCATATTCTATGGGTTTGGACAAATGTGTATGTGTATCCATCATTTGATATCAAAAAATGTATTTCCCACTGCCCTGAAAGTCATCTCAGCTCTACCTATTCATTCTCCTCCCTCTCTCTCTCCCAGCCACTGACAATCACTGATCTTTTTACTACCTCCATAGTTTTGCCATTCACCCACCCCCTTAGAATGTCATATACTTGGAATCATATGATATACAGTCTTTTCAGATGGCTTCTTTTAGTAGAGATGGTATAATTTTTAATTCCATGCTTCTGTAGTACAAAGTTTTCATAAGAACAAGAGAAACTATTTCACATCATTTCTAGATATTTTACCTATAAAATGTAGGAGGATCAGCAAATATAAAGCACTGAAATTGGAAATAGTGAGGGGCAGAGTTGCGTTAATAAGAGGTAGTAGAACAAACCCAGATTAAGAATTGTAAGAATTCATTTCCTTAGCTTCTACCAACTATGACCTTAACCAAATTAGTTAATACCTCTGGTCACAGCTTCTCATGTATTGCCTGGTGTCATGTTATCTAAGGATGGTCTATATTGATGATCTTAATATATGTGTTGTTGTTTCCTGGCTTCTGGTGACTGTGCTCAAT